CGTGGAGATTCTTCCCGACTAAGGAATTTGGTTTAGAGGGTCAGAGTCAATCTACCAAGGAAGAGGTGGATATTAAGAAGCAACCTAGGTCAGTTTTGTTCCTGCCTGTGTGTGAAATCAGATAGGGAAATGTACTGCCTGAAGTCTGCTGTTTCTGACTGGGTAAACTGAGATAATATTCACTGTGCCACAGGCTGTGGTCCCGCTGGAGGCTTTTTATTCATGCATCCTAAGGGCAGTTGACTGAGTGGCAGTCATGAAGCCCTGTCTCCAACCTAGCATCTACCCCATCTGGAACATATATGGCAGTGCACATTCATTCTGCCTCTTCTGTCTGGGTGCCTAGCTCCCATTGGCAAATGATCAAGCAGCCAGCAGGATCTCTTACGTGGATATGGGATTGGTGGCTTTCGGGTCATGCAAGGGGAGCATTCAGCTTCTCCAAGGTCCTCACTTTACATGGCTATCAGCAGCATCTTTGTATCAACAGACCACAGCGCATGTTCTGCAGGGTCTGTACTTGGGGGATTATAATCTGTCACATGTGAACATGTCCTCAGCTCAGATAAATAGAGACAGTGCACCTATATATGTGGCAAATGGTGAAGAAGAAATATAACTACAAATCCCTGAGAATCCTGAGTTGGGTGAGAAATCAATCCAGTATGTTCTGCTCTGGATAAGTGGACATGAAGACAGACTACTCTGTAATCTTCCCTCTCAAATGCACACTACTCTCAAACACACTGCTATGGTTACTTTCTGAGGGCAAGGCTGTCAGCACTCTCCACCATGATCTCTCTCACAGTCTATGCTCTCTGCCGCTGTAATTTCCCAGTGAGACCCTATTCTACATTCCCTTTAGTCAAGACTGCCTCCCATGGCTTCTCCTGCCCAGTCTATGCATCAGAGTCCACTTATAGCCCTAATTCTGATGGCTCCAAATCTCCATTCACTGGGGAGGGATTAGTTCCTAATTATAGGATCCCTTTAAAATGGCTTCTGTTAGGGCCCTGTGGGAGTTTGCACACTTCAATGTCAGGTTGTCCTTCAGATGGAATGGCTTCAGAACAAATTTCTCAGCTAGGGTACAAACTTTGTAGGGACAGTACCTCTTCCTTACCAAGAAGACCACCAGCCAGATTGTAGAAAGAGGGGTAGGCTTACTAGGCTGTTTCCCCTTACACTTGTGGTATTTTGATACCTGCTTTCCATCCAGGAAATGAAAGTAATTAATAATTATTCCATTAATAATTCATAATTGCTGCATACCCTTTTCTGTGTTGCTTTTACAGATACCCATGAGGTTTACACTTCCTTTGGTTATATCTCCTTTGAGTTTCACAACTCTAAGGGACAGAATTCAAGTGCCTGTGAACAAAAGCAGATTTTACAGCTGGCTTTCAGTTTTTGTTTAAGATAAGCCAACAGTTTTCTTCCATACATATATAGGGGTGACTCATCAGCAGCCCTGTGGAAAGCTAAAAAGAAAGAAACTCATTGGACTGGATGTGAACATGGAATCATACTTGAGAAAGAAACAGAGTTTCATGTATCACATTCATGTATCATACACAAAAAGGTAAGCCACTGTGTAAATTATATCCAAAGTTTTGAGCCACATATCTGTCACCTGGATTGACTAAAGTATAATCTGTAGACATGCTGTCAATTGTCTCACACAGTAGATAGAAACTGGCAAGACAGAAAGCTATTCTCCTAAAAAATTGCTTACATGATAAAAAGAATCCCTTGGCGTGAATGCAGAGCACCAAGGCTAGAGGGTGTGTCCCCAGAAAGATACTGTGGGCAGCAAAATGTTCTGCAAGACAAAAGTGGCTGTGTAGCCCATGTGTGTCTCATGCAAAACTCCTAACGGCTCAAGCCTTGCCAGTCCTTGATCCTCAAACAAACGCTCCCACCAGAGAGATCACCTGGTTATGTCTCATGAGTGGGCTGTACATAGATGTCTGGGGCTGGACCAGTCATAGGCTCAGGTTCAGCAGATGTGATTCAGGGAAGAGTATCACAGTGCTCAGCTGATACTCAGAAAATTAACCAGGATCTCAAAAGATGAACATAAAAATGGACCTTCACTTTTAGGAAGCTGTCCCTTCTGCCCACTGTTCTATCCTAATGTAGCTAATGGTATGAATCTGTGCAAATGCACTGTTTTTCACTGTTCTTTTTCTTATTGAGAGACTGTTCAGTTTCTGATGAGATAGGAAGATATATCAAATCAGTCCTATTTCTAACGCAGGTTAAAGCTGTGAATATGAGCAAGTATGAGGACAAACTACAGGTCTCTGAAGTCTTGGCTACCATCCTGGGGGGAAGACGCACGTTTTGTACTTTCCCCCACCTGGATGAGCGCTTTGATTCTTTTCCTGCTGATGCCTGTCAATAGTCAATCACTGCACAAAACCTTTAGGCCTGAATTCACAATTTCATCCTTCACTAGACAAACTCACTTACTCACAGCTAGTTCTTGTGTGTATTTTCCTTGTGTCATTTCCCCACGTCTACACTCCTTTAAGGATAATACATGATACAAAAGATGGGCTTTTGGCAAACTTTCCAACAGTCAAGTCCCTGAGTTTCACATGAGTGTGATTTGTTCTATGGACTTTACATAAGTCTGTCTTCAAAAAAAAAAAAAAGGGGGGCTGGGGATTTAGCTCAGCGGCAAAGCGCCTGCCTGGCAAATGCAAGGTCGTGAGTTCAGTTCCCGGTACCGGAGAAAAACCAAAAAAAAAAAAAAAGTCTGTCTTCAGATGATCTTGGATTGACCCAGTTCTCTTCCTTTTCTCACTTGTAGCTATCAAAAATATCAAACGTGTTCAGAGTGCAACATTTTAACATACAGGGTGAAGCTGGATGGAAGAGTCTGGGCTCTGTTGCACTGTCCCCATCTGAAACTGAAATATTTCAAAATTTGATTATAAACTACAGCTTTAAAAGTGCTGGGAGTATGGTAGTCAGATAGGCTGACTCTCTGGTACTCTAATGGAAGCCAAGCACATCTGGCAGTGAAGCTATAGGCTGTTTAGCGATCCAGTCCCTAGATTTGTCCACAAAGCTTAGGGATAGGAAGCTACTGCTCTCAGTATTGCAGCATCTTATTGACAGCTTCTCTAGCTCCATCCTAGCAATCAACCAACCGATTTTTCCCCTAGCCTTTACTTCTTATTACTTATAATGTCTGAATAATTTTTAAAACTAGTATTCAATGTCATTGGATTGGTTGTCTTTCCTTAAAAAATCCCTGTAGCATGAAATTCCATAAATTTACCCGGTGTTTTGAAGATAGTCAGCATGTGCACAATCTCGGTTTGTAAAACATTATGTAGAAACTCAGGGGCGTCTAACACTAGAGATTTATTTTGTGATCATGGATGTTCAAATTGAAAATCTTTTGGCTGAACAGGAAGGGGTTTCTTGGTTGGAGTTGCCAGTGGGCCTGAGTCACTCTGTCCCATTGTCTGTTTTATAATCTGTGGCAATGGTGAAGGGCTGTGACACTCCCCGACAACATCCTCATAGCACGATGAAGGGCGAACACAATCTGCAAAGCAAGCTGAATGGGAAAATTTAAGTCAAAGAACATTTAGTGTAGTTACACAACTGTGATTTCTTTTTTTACCTTAATAGTTCCTTACTACACTTATTTGATCGATACAAGGAAAAACAATAATAATTTTCAGAATTTTTGGTGTAAAATGTTGTCAAATCTATTTTTGAATAAATATAAAGGAAAACTATATATGACTTTTACACATGACATTAAACAGGATGTAACTAAGTGGTCTTATGAGAAAAAAAATTCATTGGCTGAAAATGTCTCCTAAAGCACGATTTTTAAATCTTCTATGTGCTCCTGCTCTCTTGCTAAACACAGATTCTTTTTCATTCAGTAGGTCCCAGGTGATGAAATCTTGTGGATTTCATCTTATTCTGAGAATAATTGTCTGCTTCTGGACAAAGTACTTTCATATTTTGGAAAATAGTATTTAAATAACTATAGCTTTTCATATTTTTGTTTTTCATATCTGTTTTTGTTTTGTGAAGAGTATTTTTACATTTGCTTGTTGTCCTATAACTTCATACAAAAATTTCTATTATACACTTCATGCAATTTTCTTTCCTATCATTACTTTATGATTTATTGATATATTATTGTGATAATTTCATAGGTGTAGGCAAAACTTGGAACCACATTGAAGTATTTTCTGACACTATCGCTGAACTGGAATAATTCTGAGAATTGGGACAACAGTGACCACCATGAGGGGTCATATGTCAGCTCCAGATCATCATCAAGATCTTGGGAAGCACAATTCTCAGTATTACTTCCATTCTATCTATTCTTTTCTGTAGCATTAGTCAGTGAGAGACCCTCCATGAGATTTGGATTTCAGAAAAGGATGACACAATATCAACTGACACTTGCAGATAGAAATGTGGACAGAGAGGACAGGAGAATCAACAAGTGAGGTGCTGTGGTCAGCTGACTGCAGCCAGACCCTAGGCCTAGGCTTTCTGAGCGGGTCGAGGGACCACATGATTAGCTACCTATATATTTACTGGCAGATGATTTTGGATTCTGGGGAAACACCACACAATTCCTTGACTACATCACTACTTTGCTGGTGATGGATGATGGACCCCAGAACTTTTAGAAGCTATGTCTTAGATTCCTTGTCTACCAAGACAATTATTGCTTTGAATATCTACAGTGGCTTCTTTTTTGCTCTTTTACTTCCAAGTGATATCATAGCCCCAGGTAATCAGCTACAACAATCTCTGACTTTTATTATATCATGAGAGGTTTGTCATGTTCGTGCTGTTGGTGTTAAGGAAGGAAGCTACTTAAGGTTCAGAGGAGTCTCTCAGTTCCCTTCTAACAAGAACTCTGAGTACATTCAAGTCTGAATGCTTCTGAGGAACTCAGTCAGCAGATTGAGACAAGAAGAAGAACAGGTGGTGAAGCCCAGCTTTACACTTCTGCATCCCTGGGAGGTTTTTGTTATGGTTTGTATCACTGTTGGAGGGTAACTATTATGCTGCATACAGTAATAAGTTGCAAGGTCTTCAGCCTCCAGGCTGCTGATGGTGAGAGTGAAATCTGTCCCAGACCCACTGCCGCTGAACCTGGATGGCACTCCGGATCCCAAACTGGTTGCCTGGTAGATTAGAAGTTTAAGGGCTTTCCCTGGCTTCTGTTGATACCAAGCTAACCATTGGCTTATGCCCTGGCTCGCTTGGCAACTGATGGTGACTCTGTCTCCTACTGATGCAGATATGAAGGAGGGAGACTGGGTCATCTGGATGTCACATCTGGTACCTAACATGGGAAACAGGAAAACAAACACGGACAGAATTACACATGATAAAAGAGAACATTTCCCAGGAACCAGGCAAAACTGGCCACAGGAGGCTGAGGAACTTTCCATTGTTCTCCTTCCCTACCTGGGATCCAGAGCAGCAGGAGCCCCAGGAGCTGACTGGAGACCCTCATGTCTGGGCTTGTCCTGATTTGGAGGGATTCCTGCCCAGGGTGTAATTTGTCTATTAAGGAGTCTTGGAGGGGTGGGTGCAGAGCTGTGTTCTGGGCACATGCAAATCAGCAGGGCTGGGCCACCTGCAGGACAGTCTCATCTCAGTAACTCAGCTCAGACCCAGTGTCCCCAGGACCAGTGTCCCCAGATCACTTCTGTACAACAGATTTCCCTATGGAGGCCAAGTTTCTCCCTGGAGGACATTTACTTACAAAAAATATTTAGAGAATTCTCTTTTTTCTGGTACCAGTAATCAAACTCAAGACCCTGAGCTTTCTAGGCAGGCACTGCACCAATGAGCTAAAACCCTGGCATGGGGGAATATTTCAAAATTTAAAAAGACTCTGCGACTACATTTGTAATATATTTGGCAGTTAGGGTACTATACAGCAATCCTTGTGTTTGGAAAGAACACATGCCACAGTAAATCTTACAGAATGAGATTATTGGGTCTTTAACTTCTTCTCTAAGTGATCAGACCCATGCAGAGGCAGCAAAGGGAAGAAGCTGTGCTGGGAACACACCGGGGGGGAACTGTGGCCTTTGCACAATGGTTCTGGTGCAATATATGTTCACGGTGGGTCTCCTGCCTCAGTCCCATAGATAAATGCTACTCAGTGCCTTTAAATATCTTTGTTTCCAGATATCCTCTAAAATTCCTGACTCAAAGAAACATTTTCCCTATTTAGGAGGTAAAAGTGATAGAATCAGTGGTGATGAAAAAATGCAAGCACGTGTTAAGGAGAACAGAAGGAATAGATGACAGCTCTAAGGGGCAGTCTCCACAGATCTGAGGAACAAGCTTTAAAATGATTACTTTATCCTTTTGCCCCCAAAACTTCCTTCTTTAAGACAAAATGGAGGAGTAAAAAATTTAAAATTTGATCTTCATGATATATAAATATTAAGCATAGTAAAATGTGTTCTGCTATGATCAGAGTCTGGTTTGTTGTCACCTATGACAACAGAGCAGAGATTCTTCTCACTGACTTGTGTGTTGAGTGGTTTCAAGGTTCAGGAATATGGTAATTGAAGTTCTGTGCCCTTGATCCAAAAATGGGCCAAGGAATAACTGGCCAGGAGTGGTCTTTTCATCAGGACCAAAAGAAAGATGGCTTGAAGTGATCTCAGAAATTACCCAAAACCCATTAATTCCAAGCTCAGTGTTGAAAAAGTTTACATCTTTCATTCAGGAGCAGAACCCCTTGGGCCTTTGCTCTTGAAGGGAGGCCTAGGAGGCGTTTTCCAGGATTTGTTTCTCAGTGCTCAGCTATCCTAGAACTCAGAAACTTGTACTGTCATGATGCAAAGAGACCTGGTTCCTGCTCTGCTGTTGGTAGACCTTGATGTCATCAATGTGGTGATGGTTTTATAGGCATGGAGAATACAAGAGCTGAGCATTAGGGAGGCTTCACCCAGATTTCAAGAAAAGACCTAAAAGGCCATGCAGTGTGCCCTGTGAAAACCTGCATGAACATAAACACAAAAGTGGAGTGTCAATCCCAGATGTTAGAGAAGCCAAGAGTGTGAAACATCTGAGGAAAGATAAGGCGGTAAACAGAGCCACCCAAAGAGAGAAAGCATGAGGTCTGCATGCGAAAATTCTGTGGGGATTGGGCTGCCAAGACCTTTGAAGTCCACATCTCACCTCAAACTGCCAAATGTACTGGACAAGGTATCTCAGGATTCAGTGATTGCCCTTTTGTTCTTTATGCAGTGCTTTGCCTTTCTACCCTTGTATTTCTTCCTTTCAGTCTGAGAGTTTTTAACATGGGTAATTGTGTTGGAAGGATTTAACTAGATTTTTTATTTGTAGAGGGCCTCACAGCTAAAAGTTTGCCTGCAGTCTCAGAAGACGCTTGGGACTTGGGCTTTTCAACACCGTTCAAACTGTTGATTTTTAGAGATGGACTAAGTGCATTTTGCATAATGAGATGGACAGGAGTCCCTTGGGTGTCCTGGATGTAACGTTATTGTGTAGATTAAAAATGTTCCCCAACAGCAACGTAAGTTTGAAAGCTGAATGGATCACGGAGTCAGTGTGCTCCTTGGCATATTCAGTAGATCTTCTTGATGCATTCAGTGGCAGAATGTGCTGTTACAAGGTGGGGCCTGGCTGGAGGTGGGGCCCTGGGTACATGAGCTGGGAAAGGGTTTGCTCCCTGTGCGTATCTTTGCTCTTTGTGCTCCCTAGTCCATTCCTGAATATTCGTATTTTCTTGCAGGGATAAGAAAATCAAAGTTCAATGGCTTGACTACATATCAGGGACTTAAAACATCTCTTACTTTACTAGACGGATCTTCTTATGCACAGCTCATTTTTGTGTATATTTGTCCTGTAAGTAATTTCCCCTTGTTTATATTGCAGGGATTGTATATGATAGAGGGGATGTAGCTATCTGCTTCTCCATTCAGTCTCGGAGTCTCCCCTAAGTGCAGGCAGCACTGTGGCCATGTGGCCTGCTGGAAACTGGGCTGTGGGAAGTGGTGCCCAGCACAGTGCTTTCAGTAGTTTGGGCTGACGCTGTTCTTTCCCTGCTCTCACACTAAGTGCTCAGGATCGCTGCACAATGTGCTGGGCGCACCATTCTCACATTCAGGGTTGGGGGAGCTGGGGGAAGAGCGGGATTGCAGTTTCTGTCCTCACAGAGAAAGGATGAGCTTAAACACCTTAGTCCAAACAGTCATCTTCTCCACAATATAAAACCCAAGATGGATTTTTATTTAAATCCTTTCAGATGTATTAAGGAGGAACCTACATGGATGACACTGCCTCCTTTGGGGTGTTTATTCTGACACTCAAGCAGCTGCCTCACAATGCGTCCTAAGCTTCTCTTATACTTTTGTGTAACTGTACTTAATAAACCCACCTCACACAATTAACATGTGGGTGTATGTTCAGACCGTGAAAGTAAAACATGTATTGGCATTGAGTGGTGAAGATACATAGTGGAAACTGATCTTGTGGCATGCTTCTACATACACTTATTTTTGTTAATGTTGAGGAAAATTTGCAAATGGAACATATTTTTACATCAACTGTACTCTTTAAAGGCATATATAGTCAACCTGAACACATAAAGTACTCACAGAGAAAAGGCTCTATGTGCACATGAACACAGAATTGGAAATCTTAATGGACACCGTTACATAAGCTGTCGATACATGGAACTGAATTGAGGAGGGAGTGCACAATGTATTTCTCATAATCGATGACATATTCATTTAACAAAAACATCTATTTTAAAAAACAAATCACAGCACAGGTTTCTAATCTTTTTCGCTATGTTTCAGGTGAATGAATCAGTTTCTCAAATAACATCTCAATTCTCCCAAGTCCCTCTGTCCCTACAGATCTAAGGTTCCACAGCGCCACCTGGAGGTAAGAGATTAAATATCTTCAGCCTCTGAATCTGGTCCACTACTTCATTTTGTCTCACGGCTTCCTGATGTTCACTTTACATAGTTCTTTTCCTTTCATAATTAGGAAAGGTTTGTGCAGAGGTAGTGTGGTATTTTAAAACTAGTCCGTTCCTGGTTAAAATACCAGTTTGAATGGATGGAGTCACATTTTCTTCAATGAATCATCACACATAATCACTAATTGTTTTAATACTCAGATGGTCCAGAAGTGGGCAATCAGTATCCCATTCAAATTCACATCTTTTTTTTTTTGCTGTGTCATTCTCGTTCTTTGAGTGTTTTCTCCAGGTCCTTCTTCTATTTTCCCTACTCTAGATTTAAAAATAGATATTTCTTTATGGATCAATGGTTTGCTTTTTTAGTTTTTTTTTTGAACAATGGTATCTAGAAATTATAGGTACTTGTTGGTAGAGTGAGTATAATTTCTTCAAGCTTAGGTACAATGACCAATTCATCTCTCAAACCAAAGGGACACATATGACCTGTCTATCTATGAAAACAGCAGTTAACACTCTCTTTGATTCCAAAACCACAGCGTTTAGGTAAATATTTCCCATTTCAAAAAGTCATGTCTTTGAATAACAATGAAGATCTTGATTCCACAGCGCCACCTGTGGGTGAGAGGTTAAATATCTTGTGTGGTCTGAAATATTTTGGAGTGTTTTGGATTTTTAAGTATTTGCATATATATGAGTTATGGGGGGCATCTTGACCAATTTGTAATCGGTAGACTTTAACTGGAGTCCAATCTGAAAAACAGAATGAGGGGAGGAAAGAAATTCCTTCTGAAGCAGTGAAGGAAATTTGACCAGTGACTGGGGAGGTAGTAATACTAAAAAATTATTTTACATGCATGTGTCTCATAGATCTGGAAGCCCAGCCCCTGTCTATACTTAGTGCTGCAGGTGGCCTCAGGTCTGTTGTGAATTCATCCTCTGTGTAGGACCCTTGAAGATTCATTATATTACTCTGTGTTTGAAAATTTCCATAAAACATTAAAAGACACAACTGAATTTAAGGTTTGGTTTTATTTATTATTATTATTATTTTATTAATTTATTTATTTTTGTCTTTTGAGACAGGTTCTCACTGTGTAGCTCATGCTGGCCTTGAAATCATTTTGTAGCTCAGGCTGGTCTCTTGCGATCCTCCTGAGTCAGCCTCCTGAGGCCTGGGGTTACAGGAGTGTGCCACCACACCTGCCTTGGTTTGTTTTTGTTGTTGTTGTTGTTTTGTGGGGTTTCTTTTAGATGATGAAAGAAGTATCTTCTCCACAGCTGAATAAATACCTACAATTGTGCTGATTCACCCTGAGATTATGAGTAGAGTCTGCTAAAGACAAATCATAACACCGGGGCACAACGACAGAGCCCCTGGTGCTCAGGGCAGAGTCAGAGGAGCCGCGCTGCCGTGCAGTTCTGCAGGTGCTGAGCTCTGCCTGTCCCCATGGCGCCCTGGTCTTGTTCAGCCCACAGTCGCTGAGAGGGACAGGCCTGCAGCACTGGTGAGGCAGCGTCGCCCTGACCGAGCTCGGGGCCACAGTACCCCCGAAAGCAATCT